GAAGCAGGATAATAAATAGCAAGGATGTTGCATGCTTTTCAAACCGAGGGAAGGCACAACTGTATTACTATGAAGTTATTACAGCAAACTGGCATCTGACTTCACTTTCTTTTTCTTTACCACAAAAAAAAAAAAAACCAAAACCCAAAACCAACCAAAAACCCCAAACCTGAAAAACCCATTCAGTCTTAATATTTGGAAGAGGAATACTCATAGCATAGAAAGATTTTCTTAGACAGGGAAAATGTATTACAAACCTATCAATTCCCTGGGAACGTTTTCCCGTGCCCCATTTGGACCATCTCATGAAGCTGAATGGCCTTCAGATTAAGCTCAGCACCACAGCACCCTCTGTTCAACATTCAGAATCCTCTGACTCTTCATACTACAAGAAGATCTCAGAGCCTTGGCTGGTGTCCAGCCACTACCATATTGGAGGTGGTGTAGGAAATGGCTGTCTAGGTCACGCAATTTAAATTTTCCCAGCAAACTTCAATATTTTGGTTTGCTTTGAAAGTAGAGGTATCTGCTTTGTAATAATCGTGCATCCGCTGCACAGGACTCCAGGTCTGACCAGCAAGATGGCAACTTCCCAATTAACTTCTAGGGCTAAAGTTTCGTAAATTTACTTTGGCTGAGTAATCTCTAACTCAGATTAATGCGAGAGAAACTGGTATGACTTCTTGGAGAGGAAAGAAAGCAAAGCAGACTTTGACCCTTGTGGCTTAAAGTGATTTACGTATGAGAAGATAGGAGTTACATTTTGGGACTACAGCCACTCTCCAGAGCATTGTGTGGACAGTGGCCAGCACCAGATGATTCAGGAGAAGGAGAGCGAGCTCTGCAGGTGGCATCTGTGAGGTGATCTGCTGCACTGCAAACACAGTTTGCAGCTGGATCTCTAATCGCTAAACTTTGAAGCACAAGGTTTAATATCCCTCCCGAAATGTTTGTACCTTGGCTATTCTTTTTAAGTATTAGAAATTCCCTCTCTTTTTCGGTAGCCTATAGTCTTCATCTCATGGCCATCATGTAGAAATGAGATCTCTAAGGTTTTGGATAAAAGTCCACCTTTTAGTTATGTTCAATACTGCCTTGTTTTTATCATAAGACATGACAATCAGAAGGATCTGACCTGTGTTATCTTGATTATTAGTTCTTTCCAGTATTTTACCATATGACCTCTTACCTTTCTCTCCAAAGGAAAAAAAGCCAAACATTAGAGGTTCTTCCCGTTTTGTTCTGGGCCTTTAAATCGTTGTTAGCTCCCTTCTCAGAGCTTCTTTTTACTCCTTGAGAGGAGTGAGCAGCACTGGACACTGCTCACTCAACAAAATTTGAACTTTAGTTGTAACATTACACAACAGTACTGTGTCTCCTGTCTCGTTCATCTCTCTTCACACATCTTCTGGGCACTCACATGCATTCTTCAGACTGCCTTGTAGATTACACTTCAGATTTCTTGCCCTCAGTTAATTCCTAGAAAGAAATAAGAGGCAGCAGAACAGGCCAACTTCATAAATCTTTATCTAATACTAGCAAGTCATTAGGCCTGTGAGTAAAGTCTCCATCTGTTCCCAAAGAAACCACAGCATTTTCTACACTGTGTCAGCATCTACTATAATATTTCCGCTCTCAGAGATTTCTTGAGTTTTCTCCAAAGGTCCCATATGTCTGCCTCTTCCTTTCTCACTCCAAAGAAAAGCAAAGAAAATATGCAACATGCAAACAAAAACTAGAATGGCAGCAACCCCTTCAGAAAGCTGTGCCCCCTGTATCATGGGCCAAAACTGACCCATTTTGGGAGAGAGGCCTAAAATAAGAACAGACTACTACTTTCTACAAGGGAACACAGCTCAATAATAAACAAGGGTAGCATAGCAGCTTCCAGCACTGCTCCTTACTGTATCTTTGTCCTTTTCAAGCAACTGTTTCCTCCTAGTTCTGTTTCTCTCCTTCCAGTCTGGCACATTGACATCTGTCATGACCTAGGTAGATTTCAGTTTATATTTCACCTGGTAAGTGTGTGTGGACTCAGGGGACCTAAGGGGGACCAAAGTAACCAGTTCTTGCAAGCCTGGCTCAGGCAAAACTCACCTTGAAGCTCCTGTGTGTTTTGCCTCAGCACGGATTGAAAGGCTCACGTACCATTATAGGTTACTCTGCTGCTCTGACTGTTGCTAATATGATTATGTACTAAAGGGTTTAAATGAAAATTGTTTAGTTGGCTAGGAGAGAAAAAGGGAGGGAGGGAGCGTGTGGGAGAAACACATTTGAAACATTTTTGAAAATGCCAACTGGCTTTGCTTTGTCTGGAGCTGGTCAAGCAGAACAGTGGCACTGAGCAGCTAATCAGTAGCTCCTACTCCTCCAGAGAACTGCCAGCTCCCTTCCCATTTGGCATCAGCACAGCACAGCTGAATACCCTTGTGTTTGCTTATTCTCTTGGCAGAAGTGAAAGAGTACGAGCCCCCATTTGGCTCTAAAGTGCGAGAACACCCCTGCGTGGAAAGCATGAAGGACAATGTCCTAAGAGACAGAGGGCGACCTGAGATCCCCAGCTCCTGGCTTAACCATCAGGTAAGAGCACCGTATGTGTGCAGCTGGGAGCTGCACCACACATTTAGCTGCTGCCCAAAGCCTGAGCCTTAACTCAGTGCTGGACCTCTCTTGCACGGATTAGAGCCCTGTCACATGGTGACACCCGTGCTGCCCATGGTTCAGACACCACAGTGCTCTGCACTGTGCTTACCCCAAAGCCCTGGGATTTCTGCTGCCCACCAGTGTAATATAAAAGTGATCAAAATAAAAAGATTGGAAACCTGAGACCAAACAATCAGCCAGACAACCCAGAATAATTAGGGCCTTAAAGCACGCTTTGTGTAGGCCTTGAAAGGGCAAAGAGAACAACTTCACACACGGGCCCCTTCAGCAGAGAAAACAAATCTCTGTACTTTTATCATGGAGAGCAGTCATAGTTGTATCCCAGCTGTTGACAGGTTTAAGAAAACGGGAAATGAGTCTTCAGCAAGCCAGTCTGTTTTTATTCAGGTTGCACATTAGCAGTCCATTTCCCTTGCATGTCATGAAGCACTGTCAGCTTTCCCCATGCATGTACACCATGGTTGCACCTCCTAGGCAATAGTAGATTCCTCAGTAGATGAAACTGAATGGAAGCAAGCCAAAGGCATGCATTTCTTCACCTTTGCTCTAAGCAGTTTTATCAGTAGAGAGAAAATGAGAATCGTGTTGTAGAAGAAGCGAGGCTTGGTCATTCCACTTGTCAATGAAATATGTTGAATGTTCTTTACAGACAAAAGGAAAGCATCGTAAACATTTATAAAAGCCCAGGCAATGAAGATCAGCTAATATTTCCATCAGGAGCAATGTAACACTCTCTTTTTCATTCCAGTTGAGATGTTAAAATCATAGTCTAACACCTACTTAAGAAAGGCCAGATGAGTGGCCAAAATCAATCATCTTTCCAACCAAGCACAACGCATCTGCCACCTGATGACTCGGGCAGAGTGTAGCCCCTTCCAGAACCACAGGGACTTTCTCCTTATGTAGTCATCTGTGATGAGTAGGGTTACTGAGGAGGGGCCTTTAACTGGGGAGGAAAGCTGTATTTTGAGGGACATCTGAGGGATATCTGATATTACCAGTACTAAAAAGACGTTGACACTTTTAGGAGCCATAGATACAACCGTCTTCTAAATGACAAGTTGAGCTGGGTAGAAGAGATTATACTAATGCTCATCTTTATAGAAAAGAACTGCTTGTAGAAATTTTTAAACATTGTGGATAAGCTAGTAAAAGGAATCATGAGTTGACGGCAGTTGTTTGTTTTCCACGAAGACAAAATGAAGTCCAAACTGGTAATACAAATGTGGTACTTTAGAAGAGCCCAATTAACAAAGCAGAAAAGAATGCTGATTTAGATCATTTGGGAGAAAAAAAAATAGTAAAAACTGCTTAAATTTAGGAACAGTGTGAGAACATTTCTTTGGATATTCAAAAGACATCGTCTCACATGTGAAAAAATTAAAGTAAAGAAGGGTAGAGAACCGATAAGGGAAACAGAAGAACAACAGGAAGATCTGTGGTCAGCAAACTTGAGGATAATCAAAAGAAAATCTAACAGCACCGATCTTTTGCTGGATAGGAAAGAAAAATACTCCTTATGCTAATGCAAAGGCAGAAGTGGTAAGCAAATATTTCTGTTCTGCATTTCGGAAGAGTCAGATGATGTACATGTAATAGAAGGTGATGAAAGCCCCTAAAAGCAAAAGTCACTGGCACTTAAAGCATGCCTAGGGCAGTGTTAGGTGGCCCAGAGACTTGTCTGAGTTCAGGACGAGGCTACTGCTGTGGGCACTGCAGTGGGGCACTGCATTACGTGGCAGTAGAAACGGGAAATACCACTGGTTATGCCTTGGAGAGAAGTGTCTGGGAGCTCGTTTCATGCACAGCCAGTCGTAGCGGCAGGCGTAGGTGTGCCTACGGGACCCCCGTGGTGCGCAGGCGCGGGGCAAGCCCGCAGCTGTTATCGTGACGGCAGGCCTGAGTGCGTGGAGGGCTGCAGCTCAAGGTCCTGGCGTAGAGCTGTAAGGTACGCTGTGAATTTAGTCACCTCTGGGTTCAGGTAGCAGGTAAGGTGATCACAGGTTTGGACCAAGGTGTCCTGCACTCAACTTTAGAGACTTCTTCCCTGTGTCAAACCCAGACCTCGCTCTGCTCCCGGTACAGGGCATCCCACCACCTGGGAGGACCACATGTCTGCACTTGTGTGTCACCAGGATGGGCACAGCCAGCTCTAACAGGGTTCAGCTAAGAGTCAAAGGCAGCAAAGGGATGCCTGATAACATACTCATGGGACATTTAATGAAGGTGGATTTAATTCCCTTCCTCTGAATCCCTTCAGCATTTCACATTGCGCTATCTAAAATGCAGCGATGCATTAGCTTCCGTGGGGCTGTGACAGTTTGCAGCAGCTGAGGATCTGCTTTGAGCTCCCTAGAAGTTGCTCTTACTGTAATGGCTCTTCCATATTCATTTCCTTCCTCTGCAGTCGTGTTTTTGTAATGAACTCGTTATTCATCGTGATAAAATTCTGGAATGGATTTACATATTACATTTTTCCCCCCCTTAATGAGATTTGTTGCACTATTGATTTCAAGTTAATGTTTAATATTTAATTTAATTTACTGCTTGTAATTTCAATGCCAGCAGAAAACTAATGTTATTTGTATACAGACAATAACATTCTGCTATTAACATTGACATCAGTCAACATCACCAATTAGGTAAATTATGCAATTAATGCAGTGTTGTGAAATGTTATTTTTTTAAATAAGAAGTTTAAGATAAATCCTACTTAATGGGCTTTTAGTGTCATAAAGCAAAGCACACAATTTCCTGGCAAATACCTCGTGTTTATAAAATGCATTACAGAAATGCAACTGTTTTTTGCTCCTGTAAACATGTGCATCAGCATTGAAATGAAGGTTAAATAGTTACATCTGTGAGTGACATGTGTTTAAGTGTTTGTGGGACTCTGGCCCGTATTTGCACATAGATTTATTTAGCCTGCAAGGAATTCATAAAGGGCTGATGTAGGGCCTTGATATTGCTGGCAATCAGGATTTTGTTTGAAAAACCCAAACAGAATTCAGGTACACAAAGGCCTGGGTAGAGTGGGAAGTGCTGTTATCCAATAATTCCAATGGTATTTATTAAAAAAACCCAAAACCTAAATGATTCTATAGCACTAGTCCAAAGTACCATTTTTCTTGTTATAAGTATCAGAATATATGCACAGAAATGACAGCATTAAGTTGCTGAAAATATTGTAGTAGGATTTCTTTCAAAAAAAAAAAAAAAAAATCATGCCCCCATTATAATAGCAATAGAGCTCATAAAGCACCTCCAGTGAATAACCCCCTGAACTTCAGAGGGCACTAAAGCAACTCTGACAGACGGGCTTTGGCGGTGACCGGCCCCATCACGGCTGCTCTCTCTGTGCTCTCCGCAGGGCATCCAGATGGTGTGCGAAACCCTTATTGAGTGCTGGGACCACGACCCCGAGGCCCGGCTCACGGCGCAGTGTGTCGCGGAACGCTTCAGCGAGCTCAAGCACCACGACAAGCTCTCGGGAAGAAGCTGTTCGGAGGAGAAGATCCCCGAAGACGGCTCCGTGACCACTGCCAAGTAGCGCATGCCCGAGAGCTCCGAAACAGAGGGAAATCGCTCCTGGACGCGTTCACCTTGGCAAAGGAAGAAGTCTTGATCGGTGCCTTGACTTGCTTCCTGGAGGACTGAGGCTGTCACTACTCCCTTTAGGCTCCGGCTCTGGACAGGGAGATGTGTTTGTGAGAATTAAAAGCCAGGGAGTAGGTGTCATACCCTAGCATTGGCTGCCGGCATCATGTCATAGGAGGAGCTATGTATGATAGCACTTCCTCAGGAAATGAGATTTGAAAATAGCCAATAACATTATGCACTTTATTAATGCCTGTATATAACTATGAAATTGCTATTTTTATATATATATATATATACATATATATATAAAATGTGTGTGTGTATGTGTATATATATGTCTATATATCTATAAACAGCCATGCTCTGAAAAAAAGAGTTTAAAAAAAAAAAGTGCTTCCAGGAAATTACCAGTGCATTAGAGGTCCCTCCCCATTAGGGAAGGAGCCTGGGGAGACTGGCAGAGCACGACACCGGCAATTGTGCACTAAGCACTCTGCCAAAAAGATAGGAATAATATGCAATGAGAAGATGGCTTTCAAAGCACGTGCTGTAACCACCCAGCTGTGGCCCTGCGGTTCACAGTTGCAGGAGCAGTCTCAGAGCAGACAGGCCAGTTTGGCTTTGCAGTTGTACCTACGTGGCCCTGCAGCACATTTTGGAAGGTTCAGGGATACCTTTGCCTTCTCACCTTAACTCCAACATCCTCACAGCGTCCCAGAATGGGAGTGCAAGGAGGTTTGGTCCTTCCCACACGTGTTTTGATACAGAGGTCATTAATGTTACATGTTTATTGCTTTGAATTCATGCTGCTTGCAAGCAGGTTGCAGAACACCAGCAGGATCAGGTTTCCCCTCCTCCCATCCCACCCCCAAACCATACAAAACAAGACAGGGCCAGCAATAATCCAAGCAGATGTTTTATATTTGCTCTGCATTCTGAGTGCAGGCAGTGCTATTTTTTTTCCTTCCTTTTACCTTGATTGTGTTGCTGTAGGAACAAACATTTTTTTTTTCCCTCTACAGCATGTCTAATTGCTTGACACACCACTGTCTGACTGTTCCATGCTTTCTGGAGGAAACTAAGAGACAACAGCCTGATGCCTTTGTTTTTGCAAAAGGACCTTGGAGGTGATGGAAAGCTCCGTAGCATTAGGTTAATGGCATATCCTGCCCTCAGCACTGCTTGCATGTAGCACTGCCCTCAGCAAGTCAGCAGCTAACAGGAAAAATCCAAAACACAAGAAAGGCGATTCTTTCCAAAAAGATCCTTCAGACATTGCTTACATTCTTCCAGTTCTCCAACATGTTTAAGACAGTTGACATCACATTGGGCCTGTGTAAATGACAACAATGTGTTTAGTAAGTGCTAACAATTTTGTCTTCAGGAGTTTTGCAGTGATTTTTCCACTTTTTTCTTCCCCACGGCATGTGAGTGGGCCTTGGACATTAGAAATTCAGCCAGCACAAACCAGCCCTGTACAGGTGTACTTGGTACAATTTATTAAACACCTTTGACAGATAAACATTGATACTCCTTTAGAAGGCGTTGCCGTATAAGTCAATAGGAATCATACTTATTCAAATAGGAGTTAAGATTTATGATGACAAGTATTTTATTTGAAATGGGTTTGTATCTGCTTTTTTAATTTTTTATTTTAACGAAACTACTTGGAAATATTTAAACAGAGCGGGGCAAACCCTCAACAACTACAGTGGAATTCAGAGGATACTATGTCAATTTTTGTATTTGTTTTTTGGAAAAGGAAAAGGAAAGCAGGCAAAGACCTGGTGGGGGCCATGGAGCTGCTGGTGGTGGGGAGGGGGTGGGAGAGGGAATGTGGCAGCCCTTTTCTCTTCCTCCATCCAGGCTGAAGGTCAAGGAATGGCGTCCGGTAGTTCTTGACAATACTGACATTTTTATGGTGGGTTTTTTTACTACTACATGTAAAGGAAAATTTTTATTCTTTTAAGGAATATTTCACCTGTACATCATGTATGAAATAGGAATGTGAACAATATGTACTCTTGTATATCAAAATTTTCAAGCACTTAACTTGCTTTGTAAACAGTTTGGGGTTTTTTTGGTCTGATTTTGTTTTGTTTTGTTTTGTTTTGTATAAGTCAAATGTTTATTGGAGCAAATAAAATAACACCAACTCAAGTTTGTCTTTCGTCTCTGGAGCATACAGAATAGGGAGAGGGCTCTTCCTAAAATGAACCCTATCCTAAGATGACTCGGGCCCATTCCTTCCCCCCAGAGGTCCGAGCGTCATGCTTAGTCTGTATAATGGCCTTTGCATGTGTCCTGCTTTGCTAACGACTCCTTCCCCCGGTCTCCATCCTGCCCTTCAGCAGAACAGCACTAGCAGGTACCCAAACTTGCTGGCCCTTCAGTCCCGACACGGTAAAACCTTCACTAGTCTCAGGGGAGGGGAGGGAGAAGAGGCTGCACAGCTGACACTCTCCTACTTTTAGGTTGCTCCATTCTCATTGCAGATAAGACCTTAGTTAAACCTCAGTCGTTTTGGTGCTGGTATTAAAGGGAGCCAGAAGACAGCCCGCTAAATCTGTGTCACTGAGAAGTGTGTGATTAATGTGCTTGTGCCTCACAGCTGCTGAGCTCCGCTCAGAGCTTTCACCTTTTGCAGCGGATGCCCCTCCCGTGGAAGACATGCAGAACACAAGCACCACCTAAACACAGAGCGGGCTACCTCCCTCCCCCCACCCCAAATTGCCCCCAGCACGACTTAGGTTGAATCTGAGCCTTTACAGAGGACGCAGCCCACCAGTGCCTGCTGTAGGCACCTGAGACTCTCCAGGCATCGCCATCTTTTTCAGGGAATGTATTTTGGTGCCAAAACCTCTACCACAGCTCACGCTGGGCTGCGCTGAGCATCTCCTTGTGAACCTTCAAGTGGGGATTCCCCAAACAGGCACCCAGGCGTCTGCGTTCATGAGGCGAGCAGAATCCCAGAATAACTGAGGCTGGCAGGGACCTCCGGCCCGGGCGCTGTGCTCGCCGCTCGTCTGGTCCCGGCTCCTGTTCAAAACAGGCAGCTTCGATCAGGTTGCTCAAGACCTTGTTGGGTTTTGAGTATGTTTGACGCTAATGATTTCACAGCCCCTCCGGGCACCTGGTACTCCGAACAGAGCGAGGCACGTAGCCGGTGTCGGGCGTGGTGCAAAGCACAGCAGCCACATCGAGTCTAAAACTGGCAGACGGGAGCTTTGTGAGGCAGGCCCTGCCTAGGTGCCCTCCCAGGCAGACAGCTGCAGGTGACCAGCTCGTCCTTTAGGCCAGCCATCCTCTCCCCGTACTACCAGACTACAAATCGGGCTGCCCGGGGAGGGTGCGTGCTCTGCAGCCGGCCAAAACCAGCTGTCTGGGGACAGCATGGAGGGGCCTGCAGGGAGCCTTGTCGCGGGGCAGCTGGCAAGGGCGCAGCCAGGACAGGACCCCCGCCAGCTGCGAGGCAGCGCAGCCAGCACCGGCCTGGCTGCAAGTTGCTCTGACGTTGAGGGTGGGTGAGACGCTCTGCAGCCTCCCGCTCCCCGGCAAGCCTTAACCGTGCAGCCTTCCCTTCTCCGCTGCTCCTTCAGGGAAGGTCAGGCACAAACCAGCTCTCAGCCTCCCCGCGGGCGTGCAAAGCCTCCCTGCCCACACCTCCGTGGCTTCCAGCAGCGCCCTGCCAAGCCCCAGGCAAGCCGAGCACCGCTGCGGTCAGCCCCAGCGTTTGCTGGTGCGCTGGTGGCAGTGGCCACCCCTCACCAGTCCCCACCACTGCCCACGTAGTGGCAAAGATCTTCAAGCCCTGACATCTTGTTTACACTGGCTCAAAGCCTTTTTTGCATAGCAAGGCAAACTAGTGTTGCAAAAACAAATATGAAGTGTGTTAAGAAAATGTAGCAGGCAAACTCCACAGACCTTTCAGTCTTGAGGAGTACAATATCCTTGACATAAAGTACACTGTATCCTTTTCAGTTAAGGCTTTTGCCCACCTTTCTTATCCTAAATTCGGTATTCAACATCCTTCTGTAAGCAGCTCTTAATTAGCACGTCAATCACCATTTTACCGCCAGGGTACGCAGCAAGCAGGCTCCAGCTGTGCAATGCAGAAGGTAATCCTTGGGTTTACTACTGAACCACGCGATGGTCTGAACTGGATGACAAAGTTTCCCGGTGCAGAGCACTTCTGTGTTACCAGTCCGCACAATTCCCAGCACAATGGGGATTTCACCCCGTTCTGGGATATTCCCAACTGCTACTGGAATAGACAAGAACGATAAAAGAAGAAAAGATCATGACCCAGCTCCTGAGGGCAGGGCGAAAGAAAAAGAAAGGCATTAAGACATAGTTACTCTGAATGCTGCTGGAAACTGGGCCACATGGAGAGCACCTGCAATGTTGTCCTCTTGTCAAGCCAGCTGTGCTGGGACCCAAGGGCTTCCTTCGCTTCCAGAGGAACACGCATTAATTTATTTCCTGATCCTTAGCTCTGTCTTGCCTTTTTTTTTTGGCATTATGTTTTTAATAAAACGCTGCCTATGGCAATTTTTCCCTCCAGCCACAAAAAAGATGGAACGAATTCTGTTCTAGACTGTCTGCTTGTTGTTCCTGAATGCTGTTTGGCTGCGTTCATGCTGCTTATTGCTTGGCAAATGTTCATGCAAGTGGGTGCACGCCATGTGTGTGTTTTCAGAAGGCTCTTGCTGCGGGCTGCCAAAAATTGCAGTCTCATCCCAGGTCAGGATAAGTGATGCACCTCACTGCAGGATTTTGGTGGGGTTTTTTCAGGCACCTGTGTCCTACTGGGCTACATTTCCTAACATGACCCACAAGACCCAGTTGGCCTGAACCCATGGTGTCCCAGCCTAGCTGTTCAGACCCCATTTCCTCACAGTTCCTTGACATATTGGCAGCTCTCACCTATTATTTTGGACCTCCGGCAGCTGAAAGGCCCTGCTTATGGGTAGAAAGGTGAGGACAAAGTCAGTGATTTGTTGAAATACGGCCAAATTATGAGGATCCTGAGAGGACCAAGCCCAGGAAATAGATTTAAAACTCTTGACTACTGAACGCTTTAAGCACCATCTAATCACTTCATGAAGAGGCGAAGGCAAAAGGCAGCTCATAAATTATCCGCTGTGAATTATTTGCTCAGTTATAA